CCTTGATTGCGAAACAATTGAACGTACCTTATCAGGTAAAAAGAAGATTGAAATAATCGCCATCACAGCGATCGCAGAACCAATCGACTGCATTGATGAGGGTGCGATGCTTTTGCGTTGATCGATGAGGAACGGTGAGAAGATATCCGCAAGGAACATGTCGAATTCATTATAGTCAGCTAGTATTCTTCGCCAGTGAAACAGTTCTCTCTGAAGGCAATCACAACAGACTTATGATCTTGCAGAAGTGCATGAAATTGTGATGGTAACCGAACGAAATTTGGGTTCGGTTGGAAACCGACTGAACACTTTTTAAGGTATCGGAATTTGGTATTTCAATCGGAATTCCAAATTCTCCACCGGAGTCTGGTGAAACAATTCTGAAGAGCACCGAACGTTGGTGATTGCCGGCAACTCGAAGAAATTATCAAAGCGAAAATTCAGTCGGAATCTGACCGAATTTCAGTAGCATTTTCCAACCCCAATCCGATCGGTTACCATCACTATCTTGAAACAAGCCGTGCCGGACAATCTGCCTAAAGACGTTTTGCCTAGGGACAGTTTTCCTCATATGTCCTTGAACTCACCCTACCTGACTTTTTTGTTACCGCAAGTGAAAGACACTTCAAAAGCGCGCAACTTGGATCCATAGATGAACCGAAACAGGTCAAAGCACTGTGCTTTCGTCCGAAGGATCAAAGTTCCTTCAAAGGTGGCCCGAACGGACGGAAACACCGTCCGGGGAGTTGTGGGAACAAAATGGATATTATGCTAAAAAACCGCCGGGGTAATTTTTCTTACTGCTGTCTGATAATGTGATGTTATTTGAAAGAAAATTTTCTGCGAACTTATTCACTCACCTACGTATACCACGCTACTCAATGCTGAAAAAGTATCTAATTATGTGTCAAAAGTAAATTAACCTTTACTTTATTACACTACGAATGCTTTGCCATTTGACTGAATGAAAACAGAACATAACGAAACAAAATTAAATCGTCTCGATAAGTTAAATATAATCAAAAACAAACTTGACGTTTATCCCATGAATCAAGACCATAAAAACTTGTTTGAAAGGTGAATGCTTGAATGCACGGCTCACCGTTGCTCGAATTTGCGCTCATTTTCACATGTGCTAAACAATTCTATCGTTATCTCAACTTTATTACACGAGTGCAACTCGACAGGACTATCGAAAGTCTGTACTTAGAATGCATAGCTTCAGAAATAATAAAGTAACTTTCTCTCGAAAGGAACTCACGTCGGTATTGCTGGTAGTCGAACTGCGAGAAAAAATCGTATAAGTTTTTTTGATCATAGAATCCAGTTGTATAGGTGATATTCGGGAAATCGTTCAGAAATCGTTGATATTCCCAGAGCCAAAAATTCGTCGACACTCTACCGATGCTATATTCGGTATGCTCAAGTCTGTAGATAAGTTCATTGAGACGTGCTCGCGCACTTGCATCTCTCAGGTCAGGTGGATTCATCACGTAGAATGTTGGCATCACATTATCAGCCCAAATATACTTATCTGAAACAACTCCACTGAAAGCAACTGGAACAATACCGTTTCGTTACGCAGAGGCAAGCATGCTCGCTCTCAGTTATCATTTAAGAATACGATCACTTCACTGGGATTCTCATTCAAATGACCGCCATTTCATGACAACTCTATCAGTTTTTCAACACTTTTCTGCACGGTAACGAAGAACGCGAAGATGACATGCTTGGACACATTCTATCACTCGCGGTCGATGAAAACCAAACGAATTTATGTAAATAAGCGAAAATAAACTGAAAATGGTGAGCAATTCCA